TGTGTGTGTGTGTGTTTATAATGCTGTAAAGCTGTTATTGATGCCAGCATCTCTGCGCAAATCATAAAAATCATCTCCTGGTTTCCTCCGGATAGTATGTCAGTGTTAAAAAACCTCAGTGCCAGAGGCATACGGTGAATTCTAGTCCCTATCTCAGAGATTAAAACATCCATTACAGTACACACACACACACACACACACACATACATCCATCCATTAATATACGCCATTGCATGCTCCCTTTGCACCACCAATGTCCAGTCTCGGCATGAAGTCACCATCAAAGCAATGATTACTTTTGCCCGATGTATCTGTGTGTCATTTATGGAGCTAGAAAGCAGAGTTTCTTTGCCTGCAGCGAGAAAACATTACATTTATATTGATGACCTCTATAAACAGTCAGTATTGCTGTATGACACATGCACACAGTTTCCAGTTTTTCCTTGAGCAGTCTTTCTAATGCCTAAATCTATTTTTCAAAGTGAAACAAAATGGACGCTGAACCACACAGTGTCAGCGTTAACAGATTGTAGGCACTTCTCCCTCTTTGAGGTGGTAGGCAGAGTTCTTTATTAGTCTCTAACGGATAAATAAGTTAAACACTTTTTTCTGTCTCTCACTGTAAAAGCAAATGAGTCAGTGAACTTGGACATTCATTTAGCTATGGCTAGCAGGGGCGATTATACTGCCTTCCATTTCTTCTTTATCATGAATTAATTAACAGCACATGTGAGCATTAACACATCCGTCTCTGTTTGAATAATTGTAGCCCAGTTCTAGCGTAATGTCCCACTATTAAAACTTCATATTTGCTGTTTTATCACAGGCTGAGAAATGAACAACTGTTCACTGGAAGCCTTGGATGTGCATGGTGTCAGGATGCCAGAAAGTGGGTGGAGATGAGAAGCATTTTAGCAGTTAGACAGAGATGCAACGGGTGGTGTTGACCATCCTCAAATTTTCATTATTCTTTTTTATTTTATTTTACTCTATTACCCAAAACATTGTTAAAGGGATTTTATGTTGCACTTCCAAAAAGTTAAGGAACTCACAAGAGACGTATGAAATGTGTGAGAATTTATTGTACATTTCTTTTCACGGACTAGTACTTCTCATGACAAGTACATTTGCCTTAATGTGCAAAATCATTGGAGTTCTCCATTAATGTCACATCATCTCTGTAGTAATTTCAAGAAAACTTTTCTGACACACTAAATGATATAGCTGTCATTGAAATTGCATCTGGTATCAATTGAGCAATGTGTAACTTTTTACAGCAGCCCTTAGTATTGAAAACTCAAGTACTTTTGACCTATTTGTATTTTATATGCTGTTTATTGCAGTAAATGTTTATCAGTAACCATAGCTTAATTAATCAGTATCAGTCATTACATTCTATTAATTTTAAAGTTACTGTCATTGAAAGGGTTGTTCTGGATTTTCAGTTATAAGGTGAAACTATTTATTGCTAATTTGACCCAGACGACTAATAGATAACTGTCTATTTATTCAGACTTGTGTTTCTTAATATTTGAATCCAGTCAGAGACATCCCGTTTAGGATAGTATGATTAGCAATGTCTGAAGAATTGTGTCAGATGTAGAGACAATCAAACATGCAGCACCTCCATGAGCCCAACCATTTAAATATTATTGTATGTCCCCCAGAAAAATCAATATAACCGCACTTGCCAGCACAACATGGACTGATTCCTTATTTGTATTATATAATATCTGAACACATTAAATATTCTGCTGGCTAAACTCTTATTTCTTATTCTTAAACCAGAGTCAGATTATGTGAGGGTTAAAGTGCAACTCTGATGTAAATGTTTAAAACTATTATGTCAAAGTTTAAGATTCTAAGATTTATCTTTCACAAGAGTTCCTACTTTCTCATCATCTACGTCCCTGCTTCAGTGGAGATGGTAGTCTATATATACAGTATCAATTCAAGTTAAGAAAGAAAGGGTTTATAAGAACAAATCAGCTCTCAGACGCCTGAATGGTCACATAACTATGGTAGCCTGTGTGATGCTAATGAGGCTGGTGTCCTGCAGAGGTTCCATAAAAGGGATTGCGTCAGTGACAGTCTTGTTAGTCAGGCATCAAACTCAGAACTTTGTTTAAAAAAAAAGACATGAATGTACTTTGAAGCGAGAAATTGCACAAAAATAGGTCTCTCTTAGCTTATGTTACAAAAGTCTAGACGATGCTGAGATAATGCTGAGGAGAGAAAACTGTCACTGCCAGATAGATGTAAACCACAGATAGGTTTGTGTTGCAGATAAGAAATCAAACCAGCACCACCCCCTTACATCTTTAAGGCTTTTTAAAGTTTAAAGACTAAAACACTTCCTTGCGTTGTCCTGTGTTCTTTTGAGGGATTCATAGCAGATATTCGCTGCTGTGCAACTGAGTCTGCCATGTCAACAGTATTGTGAAGTGCAGAACAAAGAATTGTTTTGTTTCACTGCATATTTGTCTCTCCAGTGGGGATGAACATGAGGGGAGTTAAAAGGGAGAACCTGGGACTTACATAGAAACACGGTAGTGCTGATTTAGATCTCCTGTCATGACGGCTACCAGTGGGAAAGAGGGCAGGAGAGGTAGCGAAGGAAGGATCAATGCGGATGAGAAAGAGATTCAAAAGGGATGGCAAGCAATAAAAAAAATAGATACACCATTATTATAGGAAGAATGCATTTCTGAACAAAATGAAGGCTGTGATAAATCTGGTCAGAAATCATGATTGTAACTAACTCAGCAATGATTTTTGTTGCAAGAAAGCATCAATTTACACAAAAATGTTATATTACAAGCCAAATGACAGTATTTTGTTACAGGAATGACCTTGTATACTGTATAATATCTTTCCTTTATAAGCTGTTTTGGGGATTCTTAATGTTCCATCTTTCCATATATTTAAATTCTCCATGTTATCCTAACATTTCTTGATATTCCACTGAACAAACCTACTGAGAGCTTAATTGCAAAGATTTACTAATTAACTTTCTTACTGTTGTAAATCCAGGCTTTGAAAGGGCTTATAAACTACTATGTTTCTAGTATTTCTGCCTTATTTGATGCAGATGGGAACAGAGAGCTGGGTTGATATAGAAATGTATACATTGCAATAAATTCTGTTACCATAAAGTCAATTTCAAATAATTTAAGGCTCGGATGTACTGTTTCTAATATCCTCAGCTTTTGAGCAAAGTGTGAGCAGCTGATTGTGATATTAAATGCTTGATATGTTTGTTTTTCAATAGAATTAAAAAGACAGTGTTCATTTCTGTGCCATTTTACCAATGAAAATAACCTTTTATTGTGCTTAGATTGTGTTCAATGCAATGATTCCCCTACAATGAAACATAAGCAGTACAACCAAAGTGATTTTCTCTTTCTGAATTGTTTCATTTGAATAATTCTGAGATGCCTCAAAATGAAACTAACCATTGTTTCATAAAAAAGGAATTGTTTAAGAAAAAATTATATGACTGGCAGCTCGTCCGTGATATTTTTGCCTTACAAGCATTGTGAAAAAACAAAACAAGGATTCTTATTTTGATGTCATTATGCACTAGTGAAAACATGACTATTACATTATATTTATGCCAATAGATCCTCCTAAATGTTCTAAATCTGAAAATAATTAAGACTATTGTATTTTACCTGTAACATGATAAATACATCCACAGTGCAGGTTGGCAATAACTTTTTTCTTTCCCAGCCACCACATATTCAGCCATCATTGACACATCTGGACCTCAGTGAAATTGCCACCCTTCATTGTTGCTAAAAGATTTGTGACACAACCGGAAGCCTTAACGCTCTTGATTTTATCAAGCTGTCAACAGCCTCCCTCCGCTCTCCGCACAGTACAATTTACCTCAATCCCTGAAAAGGCAAGAATGATTTTGAGGAAGGTGGAAAAAGGCAGAAATAGATGTAACTCGACTCAATTTAGTCTCTGACAGTCAGCTCCCAGAGTCAAGGCAGTATAGGCGCTCTCCACCTCGAGGCTCCCAGCATGTGAGAAAGAGTTGAGGGAGTTAACAGAAGAGATCTAAGAAATGTCAATATAACCTGCTTAAGAAGGAGGTGTTCTGAGTGGGAACACTTTGTATCGCATGATATGCAAATACATGTCTTTAACATCATTGGTCATAATTTATCAGATGGATTCCTCCTAACATGTTAACTGCTACAAACCTAAATTATTTTTTATTCTTGTGTCTTCAGTACTGCAAACGCTCCTCCCAGTCTCGCCAGGGAAATGTTTGTGAGTCCAGCTTTGCACATTGCAACATCTCTACTACGCCATCCAGCAGCTCCAGGGGCGCAGCAAAACATCACAGGTATTCAATATTTTTAATAGATTTAATATATTTAATTGCACACAAATACACATACACATACCATTGTGAAGTTCCACTAGAAATGCAGTAGTCCAACAGCAATAATGCAAATTATACCAACAATAGGCAACTTCAGTGTCCCTTCCTATAATCAGCAGGGACTCAGTGAAGAGAGAAATTGAATTATCCACATTGCAGTGCAGCCAAAGCTAATTGCTGATTTGCAGAAGAATGATAGTAATTATAATTAAAGCTATAAACATGTTAATAAGCATATCTATAACAGTCATGAACGCAGAGGAGATGCGACAGAGATAAAATGGGAAGCACATGTGCGGAAAATTTATGAGCCAGCACAGACGTGTAAATCCCAGTAAGCTTTTTCTCACACTGCTCAGCGGTGTGTAAGAGCTGGCTGGGCTTTGGCATGTTCATCAGCAAGAAATCACACTCCAACACACACTTCAGTGCCTACTTCTGACAGAGTTAGAGTTCACATCTTTGCCAAGGCTGGATTTTATGTTACAATACACATGAACAAACATATTCACAGAGCTGAGTAGAAGAGAGCTCCTGCAGATCGGGTTTGTACATTAGACCACCTATTGATATTCTCTTTTTATGTTTTATTTTTTTTTGTAATATATTCAATGACTAACATATTAATTCTGCCCCAGGTTAGTATTTACATTATTGGCCCAGAACGCCATGTGCAGCGTTCATCTAGTAACCTGAGCACAGAAGTATTGAACAATGGTGTTGTGCATGAACAAAATAATCCCTCTGGTCAGTCAATTATCTTCATACCAAACTGCAATTACTTCCTAGAAGATTCAGTGGTTTTTCCCATTTTCTTCAAAAAGATGAGTTCTTTCTTCTGCATCTCAACTTCTCTAATATGACAACATCAAATATCAGAGATTTCTACAATTGAACAGAAGGAGAATTGTCCCCAACCCCCTTCGCCAAAAAGAGAAATTGAATTTCTTTGTGTCCCTCAAAGAGTTCTGTATACTTCCCAGTATGCATAAATGTGGGCTGAGGAATAGTTGTTGTCCTATCACCATACTTATTTTCTCCCTATTTAACTTCCAAAGACAATGTAAGCTGGTTCCAGCAATTACTTTGCATTTGGGACACGTTGGAGAAGCTAACTTCATACTTAGTATAAATATACCATCACAGTAGACATTATGTAAAAGATTATATTGCATCTCTTTATATCTATTGCATATTGATTTTCTGGAATGCAACAGGAACATTTTGGATTTGGGATTTAAGGTAAAACAAAGCCATTTTAAACTTTTATCCCTCTCTGTTGACGCTTTTACAGACATTCACACCTGAGAGCCTCTCTGCTCCCATGGTTTTCTAACCTCTAACTGCTAAGCAACTCCACTGGAGCAGCTGGGGGTTAATCACCTTTTTTCAAGGGGATCCAGGCGATAGTTGAGAGGATATTTTCCCAGACAAACTAGAAATACGATCAGACAACCTTCAAACCACAAAGTCCACTTCTTGTTTGGCTGAACTCCTGCAAGACTTTCCTTTCCCCTTTTCTCTCTAGCTCTTGCTCTCTCTGTGAAGAGCTCACAAATGACATTCTTAGTGGGCGATCAGTGTTTATTTGTTTGCAATCACGCCAGCTTAGACACAGACTTGGACACTATTGTCAGGATAGCAGAGTGTGTTGGGATACCACAGTCAAAAAATAACCAGAAAGACACAAATAATTCTGTTTCAGAAATAACTCCTTTAAATACAAAATTCTGCCAACACTATTAAGGGCCTCACTGTAAACAGTGCTTCCAGTTATGGCTAAGAAGCCCATTTTTAGAGGCAAATCTATCTCTCAAAACAGCAGAGTTAACTATGAATAGAAGTTCGGAGAGGACATTTGCCAAAATCTCTTTTGAGAGATTGTATGTCAGCAAAGAGCACATGCACATGAACACCATGCTTTCCGATTACAGTGATACAACTGATTTATCTATTTATGTCACAGTTTAACCTTTTTTCTGAAAGGACCAGTGTGTAGGATTTTGTGACATCCAGATCCGATGACGTTGCAGATTGCAACCAAAATAAAAACACAACAATTATTATTTTCAGGTGATTATTCATTAATGAAACCATACCTATGAATATTATGTTCCATTTCTGCCAACAGATGATCCTAAATGTTACACACTGGACCTTAATGACACTCTATACTTGTAGCCCTTTTTTACTGCAGGACCTTTCCCAATAAGCTTTTTGGGAAATCAGGAACTATATTTGCATTTTGACAAGCGGTAGAGATGCACGGCTCATGGTTCTTTAATACCCACACCCACAATTACGAGAGCCAATTCACACCACCCAACCCGAAAAAAATTGTTAATAAACCACCCAGACTCTGCAAACTGCCAACTTTTTACATTATACTAGCACAACTGTCAAGACTGAGCGCCAAAAGTCTCCAAGGGGCTGATCCTGCTGCTGGGAGCATCTAAGAGCTGTCAGAGAAGCTGACTTCTACCCAGTCCACAATAGTGGGAAGAGCTAGGCTAAATAAACATATGAATGATTCCAAAAGGTGCTCTTTATTGTTGAATCATGTAACCCTTCCTTAAAGACATGAACTCTCTCTTTCTCTCTCTCTCTCTCTCTCTCTCTATCTGACACACATAAACAATGCATCCTTCACAACATTCAATTTTAACAAAATAGTAGCCCACATGTGTACGTCTAAACTGTCTTTTTAACTTAGTGTTTGGCTGCTTTGTGTAGAAAAAAAATGTTGAAATAGAAAGAGTCCACACTTTCAGGATTTGGATGCATTTCAAGCAGCAACCAGCTAAGCTGAAAACGCGCTCACTATATGCACTCTCTAGGCAGCATATGTGTGTGGTTGTCAGAGAGAGGGAACAAGAAGGTGAGAGGTGGACTACCACACACAATGTTTCTGGAAGTTATTAATAACTTGCTCGGAACGCTGCTTTGTCACTTGACCTGCCCGCCCCAACCTAAATCACTAACAAGCTTTCCACCCCTGTATGTCTCTATCCAGCATCCATTCCAACATCATAGTCAGCCTGAACAAGAAGATAATGGTTGTTGTTTTCTTGTTGTGTGTAAACATTGTATCTCAAGTGAGGCAGAAATGTTTCCAAGGGCTGTGGGTTACAGATTTTTTTAGTTACTTATTGTGATGGTCAGTGTCCAAATTAATTCAGTTTGATAAAGTGTTTTATCAGTGGTCATATGTTGATACAGACTTGAATTAGGAGATTATTATTTTGATTGCTTCAACAGGTTATGGTTCTAAAATTCTGGACACAATCTGAAACCGACCCAGCTGAAACAAAACAAAACCCTGTGTGCATATTAATTCTAAACAAGAGGCCAATTTTATATTGGTCTCTCGTTTAGAGGACAGTCAGACTGTGAATATTCTGTCAGGTACTATCTTCAACAATAAATCCTTAATTTTTTTGACTTCTTTATTTGTTTTCTTAGAAGTGGTTCCTTGTCTCACATTCCGGATCAGAGAACCCGGGCAGCCCACTGGACAGGTCCACGCAGGACCCCGCCCATACCCAGGGGAAGACTAAATCCAATTGGAGGATCGAAGTATTCAGGCCCCGCCTACCAACACCTTCAAGAAGTAGACTCATCTGAGAGGGAGGCTGAAGCACAAAGAGGGTGAGACGAATGTACTGAAGGCCCAGACGAATGTTGTGCTCCTGTTCTGAACACTGTCAGTAGTGGACAGAGCTTCCTGAAGCCAAGGCGGAAGTGTCTTAAATGTGCATTCTTTCTAATGGCCAGCAGGGGGAAGCTCCATGGACTGCAAAAAAGAAATAATCAAATAGTTTTGAGTCTTATCAAAGAATTACCCTCTGACTTCATTTATTAGCTTTTTCTTATGAGTTTATGGTCTTAATAACTACTTTCAAGTATTCTTCCGTGCAGCATGATGTGCATTTCGTAAATGATGGTCCAATTTAGAGTCAAACACACAATAAAGCAGGGTATACTTTAGGGCTACCTTGTGACTGACAAGTCATTCTCAGTGAGTCTGTCCATCACGCACAGAACTCAGACCTTACCTTCAAACTAGGCAGAGCTGATCAAATATGAATCACTGCTCATATTTTAGGGTGTCGGTCGTTTTCAGCCGTCCAAACGAACTCACCTCACGAAGCTTTGGACTTCATTTCAAGAGTGGATTTTTCAAAGCCAATTCTGTGATTTATTTATTTATTTATCTTTAATTTTAAGACTGCACTTCTTTTTTCCTTTTTTAATCTCCTTTACGCCCCTCCCCCCCAGTTTGTTTTCCAATCTGCTGAGCAAAGATAAAAACAAGGTCACGTTATGTTGTGGATTGCAATACAGTGGCATGAGTTCAAAGGAAACTCGCCTGGTGTTGGTGCTTTTAAGGACATGATACAGGCTACACATCCAGACTCTTCTCCCTCTTCGCTCCTCTCTGGCATCTTGTCATGCAGGCGCTACATTCTGATTCCCAGCTTTTTATTGCTAAGCAGGTACACCAGCAATTAAATCCCAGCATTTAAATGTGACATATAGGGTTACACTTCTCAGGCCAAACTGAATATGCACAGCCAGGGGATATGCAAATGATCAGTGTGAATGATTAGCAACAAATGTATTCAGTGTGAAAGGCGCTTTGACCCATTTTTGTTTGGTCATGAGTCAGTGCTTTACCTACCTGGACTGGCAAGCCTCACTTCAGGCGTTCAGGTCCCAGCAGTTCTGGCTCAGGATAAAGCTCCACATGACCTACATGCATACTAATAGAAAGAGGAAATAGACATGGCCGAACAAGAACACACTCACATCTACATCGTTGACACATGTGGTGTGGCAAATTCATTGGTGTGCACACTGGGGGTACAGAGTGGTGATTGCCCCTGCTCTTTTTAGTTTCCTTTCGTTTTAATCTTTATTTAAGCAGGATATTTCAGGGACACTTGAGCTGCTTAAGTATGCCTTTCCACCGCGCAAGTGCTCTTCTAATCTGACCCAGTGCCACTCAAGTGCCTCTCTGGTCACCTTAAGTCCATCCCTTAGTGCCCTCTGCTCGACCCAAGTGTCTTCGTGTTGCTCCAAGTGCCCCCCAGGTGCCCCTGTGATCAGCCCACATGTCCATCGGTAAGCCCGAGTGCCTACAGCAGCTCAGGTGTCCTCTGGTTGTCCCAAGTCTCCTTCGGTCTTTCCAGGTGTCTGCCCAGGTTAAACCCAACTGTTTACTCGTCAACCCAAGGGTCCTCCGATAGCAGGTGCACTTGTATTTTGGTCAACCCAAGCATCCTCTTGTCAAGCCAAATGTTCTGTGGTTGGTCCAAGCATCTTCTGGTGTCCTATGATCAACCACAGTTTCCCTCTGGTCAGCTGAAGTGATCTATGGTTGGCCCCCTGGTCAGTATATATGTAATATGGTCAGCCAAAAAGCATCCTCCGGTTGGCCTGAATGTCTTCTGGTCACTACAAGTGTCCTTCGCTGCCCAAATGCTGCTTGGCTCCCTTTTGTTATTTTTGCCCCTGCCCCTAGAGCATCTGTGCATGCCACTACACAGAATGAAAACTCCCTTTCCCTAAAAAACACACAGTCATGTACAGATGCTACATGAAAATCAGACAGATAAACAGGTTGCGCTGAAAGGCAAGAGGTCACGCTCACTCTCTCACTCACACACATTCAGACTGAGTCACACACATACTTCTGCTCACTCATTCACTCATTCTCTAATGTACGATTTCACATAACAGCAGATGCACAGACACACGACTCCCTTTCCCATAGTATGGTAGTCTGGGTTGCCATGGAGGCATTTGACCACGACTGCATAGAGACTGAGGGAGTGATGCAGAGACAGGAATAGAGAGACAACTAGTTTGAATCCATTCTGACACAGACGGAAAGCGTTCAAAAAAATAGTAAAAGAAGAGAAAAAAACAGCAGCAGGGGGAGTGAAAGGATGTGATAGAGGAGTGTGCAGATAGCATATGACAGTTAGAAAATGCTTTAAAGAAAGGTTGCCCGTTCTATTCCATGCCTGTTAGAGAAGCCCAGTGTTATCTCAACAAAATGGCTGACAGGGAGACAGAAAGTCCTGTGTTGTTACTACTATTTTAAGATAAAGCTGTCTCCAAAATGGCTGACTGAGAGACTGCATGCATTTCTGTATTTTTGTCCACAGTTTACAGTGTTTTATTAGAAACATGGCAGATTCTCCCTCCCTCGTTAACTTTGTCTTCAACAGCCATCAATTAACCAGACACAGCTTCTGTATCTGTCTGTGTGTAGGCGTACACACCTACATGTATGTACAGTATATATGTTGCTTCTCTACAAACATTTCCCATTGTTACAAGGTCACTGAATCACTCACATAGACAGTTACTTTGACTTTAGCAGCAAACAGATGAGATATGTTTATCTGTAGGGGGATGGATTAATGAAAATGACTGTTAACACTTGTACATGTAATGAGCTCCCGTAAAAGATAAAAGCCCAGTCACTTATCTCACCTCACTTGCACACAATCTCTCTGTAATACCCCTCTAGCTGCTCCCTCGTTGCTCCAGGGTCTATATTTGAACTCTGCTTCATAGATTTTTGCAATCTGATTGTGTTTCAACACATCAAAAGAGAGATTTGTCTGTGAATGTTATCTTGGGAATTAGCACCCTCGCGTCATCCTCTCTTATCGCTCGCGGGATCCTCTCTGTGGGCCCGCTAAATCTCCACTGTGGTTTTTGGTGAGGTTTTCATGTCTCAGAAAAATACTGCAGTGATAAAAGGACGATGTGATTTCCTTTGAGTCTGAAAAAGCACCTTCTCCTCCCACCACTATTTTTGCACGTCTCGATGGAAAGCACAAGTGTGTGTGATGAGGTATTACAAAGGAGAGGGAGTCAAAGTTGGATTTTGATATAGCGAAAAAGGCTAGTCTTTGCAGAGGATTATGAATTATTACACAGATGAGGCTCTACTGGATTTAGACACTGATAACACTGAAGAGCATGGTCAGTCTAAAAAGAGGAAGAAAGATTATGCCTGGGCTCAGTGAAGTTAGGTCAAGACCCGGATATACTATGCATTATATATAGTATATACAGTGTGTGTGTATATATATATTTCAGTCAGGACCACTTTTGTCAAAATAACTTTTATTCCAAAGCAGAATATTACATTTGGCAGTATGGCTCGTTCTGGCACCTCCTTGCCATCCACGTGCCATGGTTGAACAAACCTTACAGCAGGGAGAGCAACCATCCCCTGCCCTTCCCATGTACGTACATGGAACAAGTTTAAGAAGGAGGGAGCGGCAGCAGAGACCCCCAGGGTACAGAACAGAGCAAGCAAGATCGCTGACAATCAGAAAATTAACATTGATTTAATTAAGATAGCAACATAAAAGGAGGAGCTGGGGTGGAGGGTGGGTTGCAAAAAGATTGTAGGAGGAAGCAGCAAGATAGGCAGGCTAAGCAGCTTTAATTAAGGCTCATGAATGAATTTTTGCCAATTGGATGCTTGAGGGAATCAGCTGAAAGCTGTCAG